ATCACCAAATATAATTTTAAAATTAAAAAATTGTAGTCTTAGCACAATATATATATATATATATATATATACATACACAACTACGCCAACATTGTGATAACCAGATTCAAATTGCATAAAGATCAGTTCATACTCAGCACCTGAAGATTGTGTTGTGCATGAAAATCAGTCATGCTAGTGGTGAGTGATAATATGTATATTTATTAATATATACTTAATAGCTCTGTTATATTACATCTAGCAGCATTTTATTAACACTAGCACTATATGTGCGATATATTATAATTGTGTGTGTGTGTGTGCAATATGCAAATGGGATAATGGTTAGTAGGTCAAAATGAGAAATCAGTGAGCTAAGTTTAAATTTTGTTAAAGTCTGTTGCATTCACTTTCACACAAATACATTTGGAAAAGATCTGAATCTATCTCTTCTCCCACCAGCTATGAATTAAATAACAGGGTAGATTTGGTCTTTAGCTTTGATTCACAACCTGTCTAGGAGAAGGACAATTCTGAATTCAAAACTGAGGAGGGCTATGTAGAAACTTTGTGGCACACTGTGCTCCAGTTCTTTGTAAGTATAAGTGTAATTAGTTCTACTAAAGACTTCAACACTCTAATCAAATCATATATGTAGATAGTCTGATGGTTCAGTCCTAAGGATTGAATTGTTAAGCCATCATAATCAACAGAATAACTTTAATAGATTAAAGGGCATTATTGAAAAATTATATTATTAAAAAAAAAAATGCAACCTTTATGCATGTCATATATATATATATATATATATATATATATATATATATATAAATAATAGCTGGCCACTTGTATTTGAGGATACCTGTCTATTAGGGCAGCTAGCCAATCCCTATTGCATATGCTCACTCAGGCACATTTGTGTTTGTTCAACACCCACAGAGCCCGCCTGTGGTTTATACTGAAACTATGCTGAGCAGACCGTAGTTGCAGTTTCTGGGAGAGAACATGTTATCTAGCCTGATCAACAATCTGAGCAAGGCCAGCACACTCAAACCCTCAATCACGATGACTTGTGACTTCATGCTAGCACAGCTATCGACAACCCCCAAGTGTTCTGTCTACCTAATTTCATTCACATGGCTTGAGTCAATCCGTAGTATGGTTTTCAGGCACTTTCTGAAGGTGCTGCACACTGGGATTGCCCTCCTCCCCATTTCTAGACCGATAACATCAGGAAGTCTCCTTCCTGACAAATCAACTGTGGTGAGATACAAACCCAGGTCTCTGAGCCATGCGACATACATACATACATACATACACACACACAGTGAAATGGGTAAATTGTTGCCATTTTGCATTTTTAATTTCACACATGCACGTTGTTTTTGATTTTGTTGATTGCACAGTGGAGTCAGTTGGGAACTATCTGTGAGAAAAAGAGCACCCTGACACAATTCCCTCCACCAGAAATTTGGAAACAGCATGCTATACTGCTTGGTATTCATGCCAGAAGTGCCAATACAAACATGTCAGAGTGTTTGGGTGTAAACCCGGGCCTTCTTGACATGATGGTCAAGTGTTTGAATTCAGAGCTATTCTTCTAAACAAGCTGCTCACCTCCAAGTCTAAAGTAGGTCTTGGTATTTAATACATAGCTGTGGGGAGAAAAAATACATTCACATCTTTCCCAAGGGCATTAGTGTGAAGTGACAGCAACAGGCAGGAATTTAAACTGTCCAGAAAGATCTTCCTGCCAATATAGGGAGCCTGCTGGTATCCTGTCCATGATAATAAGCATGTCATCATGAACATATCATAAAAATGAACATTTTCCAATGTTATGCCTTTTAAGAAGGAAGTGAATCCTTTTCTCCTGACACTAGATATCTTAACATTAATTAATTACCATAATGGTTAATTAACAAAAAGATTGAGTGGATGAGTAAGAATTTGGGCAAACAATTCTCCCATAACTAAATATCCAGGTAGTACAGTATTTCCTCATTTATCTACACACCTTGAGAGAGAGGGTGAAAAATTATGTCTGGATAATTCAAGATCTCAGAAAAATGACAATGCCTAAATTATTGGGAAAAAAAAAGAAAATGAAAAAAAAAAAAAAAAAAGAAAGCCATTTTGTGAAAGAAAATTAACATTTATATTGATTGTCAAATAACATTTTCAAATACTTTGTTCAAGGTTTTGACCAGTTTATTTTTCATAAAAAATTAATCATTTTCTATTTTTTTTCAGTTAGCCTTGTAATTTTTGGCTGCCAACTCCCAAAGCTGGAATAAAGCTGTCATAATTCAAATGTATGTTCATAATCTGAAAACAATGAGGAAATTAACAGGAATTAATTGAAAGGATTTTTATCATGGTTTTTATCCATCATTCAGTATGATTTTATAAATTTCAAAAACACTTGTCTGAGAGGAAATAGCAGAATAGGTTTAATTCAGATAATTGGGAAATATTTGGATGATTCTAATTTCTCTTCATTTCACACCCGGAAAATCAAGGTACAGACAATCGAGGAAGTACTGTAGATGCATCATAGCCATTATCCACTGGTCAACATTGACAGGAACATTTTTTAGCATTTAAATAAAACAAAGACAAAAGCATTATTCTCTGAAAAACAAAGTAAATAAAAGGAACTATAAACTTCAACTAGGAAATAAACACTGTGCCTACATTTGAGTGGCTACAATAACAAAAGGAAACTAAAATTTTAGTTAACTTGATTTTTCTTTACACACAAATTTTAACTTTTTTTTTTTTTTTTAATTTCAACATTTGGTGCATACAGAGACAAAACAATTTTTACAATAACTTCTATTTCGCAAAATGTTGGAAAAATGGGTAATACAAACTTAAATGGATTTCCAGATCAAACCCAACTGCAGATGGCCTGATTATGAAAGGAGTCTCTTCTAACAAGGATCTAGATCATCTATGTGAGCCTAGATTCTCTTTTCCATAGAAAAACATATATTGATGTTGAAATTGTAATAAATAAATAAAGTGCCATTATTGTCTAGATGAAAATAAAAAATGAGTGCTATTAACTATGCTCTTCTACCTTTCAGATAATTATTATGGAGACTGTAAATTCTAATCCTACAAAGGATTGAACTCTTCATCCTTGGCTAACAAATATTGTTGAGTTATCCTGTCCCATCTGCTAATTAAAAAGGTTGAAAAAGATTCATCTGCTTCTGGAATCTATGATGGACAGTTTCACAGGTTAAAGAGAAAAGACATTATTATCTTTCATTTTTAGCTAGACGTTTTCATAAAAAGGTGTAACATTGCATACATATATGTACACTGAAAAATTAAATTTATTTTCTGAGATGACAATTGAGTTTGTATGAAATTTCAGATGATATATCAAACTAAAAATGTTACAGAATTAAAAGACATATAAACTGACTGTATAATAATCATAAAATGAAGCTCTGAAATGACCAATTATTAGAATACCATGAAAAATGTTTGCACTTCTTTATTTTGTTACTTGCTGGTACATATACTTGATACTTGTATGAAAGCAAGTCAAGGACCCAACCTAATTCTTTATAGTTGAGATGGACCAGCCTGAAATTAATTTTAAGACAAGGAAACAATTTTATTTATATTATTTAGACTATTATCCTGATCTTTGTTATTATCACAACAATATTTCAACTATCAATCCAGGTAAGCTTCTGAAGGTTATCCAGATTGACAAGCACTTAATGAAGGCTGGAAGTCACAACAGCCAAAACATTGTGATTATGACAACAAAGATGAAGACAATAGTCAGAATGTAAATAATTATAACTCTACAGGAAGATACAGTTTTTAAAATCATCAAACTGACTATGCTCAAATTATACAGAAAAGTTTACGGTCTTTTGCTGATATTAAAAAAAGAAGCATAAATTTAGTGCATTTTCATAAAATAACTTGGAAAGCCCAATTTTATCAAAGAATTGAAAAAAAAAATAATTGGTCCCAATTTGTGCTGTTAAAGATTTTTGCCATTCAGTGGATGTCCTGAGACTAATTTCAGTGTTTCAATGTGTGCAGGCTTTGCTGAAATAACAGTTTGCACAAAAAAGTCATCTTTCTTGAAAGAGTTAATATTTTTTTGTACTCCTATATGAATATTTTTAAAACCAGCATCAGCTAAAGACAACACACTAAAAAATTACAATTATAAACTCCATGAAAGACATATGGATAGTGTGATGATTATTTTTACACTAATGCTCTTGGGAAAGGTATGAATCCATCTCTTTTCCCTCACCCCCTCACTCTTCAGTTATCTGTTAATTAAGAGAGTAGACTGGGCAATCTAGGAGAAGGACAACTCAAAAAAATATGGAGAAAGCAATAGGAAACCAATCCACTATCCTAAAAAGTCATAGAAATTCACAGACAATAAAGAAACAATCTATGGAGAACCATGATTACTAACATCCTGAAAAAACTCCATAATAACTAATATCAGTTATTAGCTACAGAATTTTTTATATTTATTTAGATAAAAAATTCTAATATTTTACCCCCCCCACACACACACCATCTTATCTCTACACCAAAATGTTAGTGATTAAACTTGTCTTAAAAAAAAAAACAAAAAAAAAAAACAAATCAAGCCAACTGAAGATTATCTAAAAAATAATTAGTGTGTAAAGAAATGGAAAAAAGAAAATCATCTTACCTGTCCACTTGATTTGGCTGGTACAAAAGAGAGAAAAAGCAATTATGAAGACCAAAAAAAAAAAAAAAAAAAAAAAAAAAAAGCCCTAAACTACACAGACATGTGCAACAAAGTTATGGAATAACTGCCATTATTTGGAATATTCCTTGGGCTTTTAACATATCTAAAAAAATTTTAACACAAGACAATTATTAAAATACAGTTCACTTGAACAAATCCACTTTGGACAGTTGAAGAAAATCCAAATATTGCTATAATAAAATTGACTAAGTCTGTCAAAAATAAAAAAAAACACAAAATAACTTACCTTTTTTCCATCTCCACTTATTAATGGTGGCTTTACATCATCACTTGTAATCACCTTTGGACTCCTATGACAGAAGATTGAAGTAGATTATATTTATGCAGTAAAAAATTAAAGTATCTGCATAATAGTCAACTGAAAAATTCAAGCCAATCAAAATTCACTATAATTGAAAAAATAGAAATAGACAGAAAAGATAAAGTTAGAAAAATACTAGCAGAACATGAAGACAAATGGATTTTGCACCTCAAAATACTTTGTCTTGATGGACTTAACCACAAATTTAACAACAAAGATAGAATTAACATATAACCCCATAAATCAAGCCCTACCCACATTCCTCACCCATACATAACAGACATGCTTGCAGAGGTGATGAGGCCTCACACTTATACACACACATCACACACACTCCCAAAAAACTATAAGATAACATACACTCCCATTCCCAGCAACCAATAAAACTGTCAAAATGACCAAGGAAGGAATTGTGAAAGTCAGGAATCTCCTATACTCTATTTTAAAAAGTTGTTTAGCCAACATAAGGACTGACTAGAATTAACAAAAAACAAATGAAAACTACAGATAAAGTTCACTTTCTTCAGAGACAGTCATTCACTCCTGTAGCTCTGTAGTGAAAGAGATAATCAGGTACCTCGGAAGGAAAATTCGGGCATTTTTGGCTACGGCATTTGTTGGGAGAGTAATCTGCGACAAATTTGCTTTGAGAACGCTTACACTTACAAGCTATTTCGGCGTTTACTTTGTCTCTTGCAAGATGGCGGAAAGACCGTTCGATATAAAACTGATCCCCGAATTCAGTGGTGATACGAGTGGACAGTCTGTGGTTGAATTATGCAAGATCATGAAGATTGAACTGATTCTTCCTCTGCGATTGAATGGCGGTGCCCTTGCTGTGTATAGGCAGCCGAGTAAAGAACAGAAAAGTGACATTGAGCAAATAAAGCACACTCTACTAACCGCCGCTTTGAACTGACCGGTTCGTGGGCTCGACCAATTCCAGGCACGGCGTCTGCGACCTGGCGAGACAGTAGACGATATTTGGCAGAATTAAAGAAGCTCGCCATTCCAATCACACCGCTTCCTGAAGAATGGATGACATGTGCCTTCGTTTCTGGATTGCCCAGTCATGTTAAGCAGATACTCCGCGCATCATCCAGAATGGAAGACTTGACGCTCAATCAATTGTTGACCAGAGCCCGTGCTGTCATGATTGACAAAAAAGAGGCTGATGAACCAGTGGCCGCAGTTATTCAACCAATTGAAGTCAAAGAAGGTCCGACCCCAGCCATTCGTCGCCATGGCATTGCCACCTGCTATCAGTGCTCTGGGCCGAATCATTTTGCCAGAAACTGCCGCTATCAACACGAAGAAATGTGCAGCTGGTCGGCGCGAAAGGCACGTCTCGATCTACAATGCTTCCAATGTCATAAAGTAGGTCATATTGCCTCTAAGTGTCCGCGAAATAGAATGGGGACGCTGACGTCAGCGCCGGTCTCTTCCCCGCACCGAGCATGAAAGAGGCGCCCCTGTGATTAAGGTAATACGATCAATGGAATAACGCGCACCACTTTAATAGATTCAGGCTGCTCTCGTCACTCACGAACGTCTTCGACGGCCGACAGTGGAGCAGACAAAAGATGGACATACTAACGGCTGATGGAAAGGCTCTCAGAAGCCGGGAGTTGGAAACATCAAACTCAGTATCAATAACGGTGACCCTGTCACAGTCAGTGTGTTGGTCGGGACAGCGCGTTGTTAGGTTTCGATCTGCTCCTTGGGATGGATATTATTAAGGCGCTACGGCGACGACATTACAGAGGCGCGGCGAAGTCAAGCCCATCTGTGCTACTTTTGAAGATCAACGAGCCAGACTTTAGCACAGAGTTCGACCAAAGGATCAAGACATGGACAGCATTTTTTGGAAATGGTCAGAAAATAACCCACCAGAAAAGCTCCAGAACTGAGTGTCAGAATATTCGCGCCCGAATGCGCTAAGGAAGAATACCAGCACGAATTGCAGGTGTGGCTGGATAATGGATGGCTGACTCAGATCCCGAGGAAGAGCTTGGTCCTCCAAGAGGCCTCATCCTGTTGATGGCCGTGGTACAAAAGAACAAGGAAAGGTGCGCCCCTGTACTAGATTATAGAGAACTGAACGAACATGTAGACACATACACAGCTCATGCTGATGTGTGCACAAAAAATTGAGAGAATGGCGAATGAAGGGATCCAATGTCTCTGTGATTGACTTTCGAAAGGCCTACTTGCAGGTACAGGTGCACCGGTCACTGTGGCCATTTCAGACGGTGATCCTTAATGGGACGATATACTGCTTAACCCAAATGGGATTCGGACTCAATGTAGCGCCGGCCATCATGAAAGCCATCGTGGATGCTGTGCTATCCCAGGATGAGACAATTAAGTTTGCGCCAGCCTACATTGACGACATCTACATCAACAAAACCTTAGTACCCGCTTCACAGGTGAGAAAGCATCTTGCTGACTTTGGGCTCGAATGTAAGGACCCAGAATGACTGAAGGATGGTGCTCGTGTGCTCGGCTTGCAGGTCTGGGGGAGCACAACATGCTTTACTGAAACGTGGAAGTGAGCTCCGGACATTCCCAAACACATGACCCGGCGCAGCGTGTTTTCGTTATGTGGAAAGCTGGTGGGACATTTTTCCGTATGGTGGATCTGCATTGCAACTGCATTTATTAAACGTGGGGTGACTGCTGTCACTTCCGGTTGGAATGACACAACCAATGATGCCCCCAGACACATGATAGCGAAGTCATTACTTAAGGTACGCCAAGACGACCCCTGCACGTGGTAAATGGTGCGTTGACGGATGTGAATTTAATGTCTGGGTCGATGCAAGCTCCCTTGCAACAGGAGTGTCTCTTGAACTAGGTGAAACTGTCATGGAAGATGCGTGTTGGTTGCGTCCCGAGAAGGATACGCAACATATCAACCTGTCAGAATTAGACACCGTTATCAGGGGAGTCACCGCGGCCCTTCAATGGAATGCAAAGATATTGCATTTATTCACGGATTCCGCATGCTTGTATAAGTTTATAGCAGACACTCTTACGGGGAAGGCTAGGATACGTACAAAGGCTGCAAGCGAGATGCTCATTCGAAGGCGCCTAGACACACTGGGAAAGTTGGTAAGTGAATACCACTTATCCGTAGACATACAGCTGGTCAGATCACAGCAGAACAAGGCCGATACTTTAACAAGGGTACCCCAAAAATGGCTTGACGCTATTAAGAAAGAGGTAGAGCCGGTAGGACATGTCTGTGTAACATCAGCGAGCAACCATAACTCAGATTTGCTAAAATCTGTGCATTGCCAAAGTGGACATCCCGGTGTAAAACGGACCCTATATTTCGTGAGGCAGATTTATCCCTCCGTATCCAAAGCTGCTGTCAGGGCAGTGGTCAGAGGATGCAAGAAGTGTCAGTCCATCGACCCAGCACCTGTGCAATGGCAAAAAGGACAAGTGAGTGTAAGCAAGGTGTGGCACCGTGTTGGAATGGACATCACCCATTATAACGGACATCACTATTTAACCCGGTTCACTATTTGGCGGCGTCTGCATCAACAGGATTCCGCAAGCGTCATTGACCACTTGGGGTCATTGTTCTTTGAACGTGGACCTCCGACGGAACTCCTCACTGACAACGACACTACATTCCGCAGTGGACTATTCAAAGATTTTGTGGATTCGTGGGGAGTACACCTCAGATTTCGCTGCGCGTATGTCCCATCAGGGAATGGCATAATCAAGCGATGTCATCAGAGCATCAAAAGAATCGCTGCTAGGAAGCAGTGTTCCATAATGGAGGCGATGTATTGGTACAATGTTACTCCGAGACAATAATGTATCACCCTCAACCGCGCCAGCCAACATGATTTATCAGTACAAAGTCCGCCACGAGGCATTGACGCAATGCTTCAACTGAACGGATAAACGAACGTGCGCGCCGTATGACTTGGGCGATCGATGTGGGTGAAAGCCCACATAGCCGTGTACAACCCGGTACCGGTGGGGCATGTCACTGGACTAAGTAACTCGCGCTCTGTGCTGGTTGATGGCATACCAAGACACATAAAGAACTTGCGCCGCTATGTAGGTATAGATACGTCAACAAGTGACACTAACAGTGAGTGCTCAGAAAGTGAACAAATAATTACCATCGGAGGTAGGGCTAGCACCTCTTCAGATGGTGAAGACTGTGCATGAGGTTGTCAGACCAGAAGAATCCTCAGAAGAAGAATCTTCAGAACATTCTTCAGATGATGAAGACTCTGCGCATGAGGTTGTCAGATCAGAAGAAACCTCCGAACATAACACACAATCTCCTCCAACAGTCGCACCGCTCCGGAGAAGCTTAAGAATAAAGAGGCCCGCCCATGAGTGTCACTTAAGTGACAGGGGGGAGTGTAGTGAAAGAGATAATCAGGTACCTTGGAAAGAAAATTCGGGCATTTTTGGCTACGGCATTTGTTGGGAGAGTAATCTGCGACAAATTTGCTTTGAGAACGCTTACACTTACAAGCTCATTGCTACTAAGAAGCAGGGATTTTTTTTTTCTCCTGATGATGGCCATGCTGGCCAAAACTAGTTGAGGATTCTAATTGAAATAATAAAACCAAAAAATATTAACATACAACCCAGTGTGTCTGAAAACTTTAATTTTTTATTGTTCAAAACATATATACATACATACACACGCACACACATATAAGAGAGAGACAGAGAGAGATTTATGTTTACATGCACAGATTTTTAAAGAAAAATATGCTGAAAAATTTTGCACACATCTGATATATACAAAAGGTCCATCGAAAATGTATCTAGCTATTTTGAATAACTCAAGCATCAGTTGCATAGTCTTGATGTAACATGGCAACATATCAGAAGAAGCCTTATTGCCCATGCCTGAACAGACACTCTCCTTTGGGGTTACTCAGTTTCCAGTGCAGAACCACTGAGTGAGTTTGTTCATTCTGTGACTGTCACATCACTATACATGAGCAAGTAGATTCTTCAGTTTTGGCAAGAGAATCATATCTGTCAACTCAACCACACCTACTGAACAGCCCAAATTGAAAACTGACCTGTGCAATTTCTGGCATTTTTTTAAAGCTAAAATTACCATTGGACAAGGTTAAGGAGAATGTGATGAATAATCCCAGAAGATGACTTTGTAGACTGCTAGGTTAAACATGAACAATTCTAAAAAAAATTGAAGAAGGCTTATATGCCATTATACTGAAAAGTATTTTTTAATTAATATTTAAATGGCTGAATACTTCCCAAACAGATTTTGTGTGTATGCTTATATCTGAATGGATCAGATAAAAAGCTCGATTTCAAATGCTAATTTTCAAAGACAACAAGCCTTCTCAAAAAAATTCATCCAATAAAATAGAAAAAAAAAGTCTTCATACAATTAACCAGATAAAACAATAAAAATTAAGGTGTAAATGGGAATAAATTGAAAACTTGAAATTTGTCCACAAATAATTTTTAGTTTTGTCAACTAACAAAATATTCACATTTAAAAAGGTTTTCCAACATACCATCCTTTCATGTATCCAGTCCGACACAATATTTGCTTGCCAAGGTCCTTCTTCCAGACATTTCGTGCAAATTGGGATGAACAAAATTCATTGTGGAGTAAATTTGGATTAGCAAGTGCCTACATAAAGGTAAAGAAATACGTACGAAAACTTCATTATTATAATAAAAACGCTTAAAACTTTAAATTCCCTCGATGAAAAGGTTGCACAAAGGATATACTAATTCCAATATGCAAGGGAGACAACTTCATTCCTAACAGTTATCTTCTCTTTATTAACATGACAACTACAATTTTAGATGTAGGGTGCCTACCAAGATTAAATGTATAGTAAGCATGTCTTGCAGACTATTTTGCTATTTTAATTTTTTGGAGTTTGATAAATGCACTATAATTGTGTTTTTCTTTGTTCCATACTAAAGCTTAGCTAATAACTTGTGGTAAAAAGACGAGAGAAAAACTAGAAAAGTGGAAGTAACACTTATATAGAGAAGTGCCAAAGCATTATGGGTGAGTGGTGGTTGTGTAAAAGCTGGAAAGAATGATTGGCAATGAGTTTTTTTTTCTCTTTGCAAATGGGTGTCAGTGAGTGAATGGATAGGAAAGGAAAGGAAGAAGAGGAAAGAAAGAAGGTTTTTTTTTTATTGTGTATATCAGCAACACCATAAGCTATTTCAGCGTTTCACAATGGAAGGAGAGAGTGGGAGAATGTGTGTGGCCAGTGACACGATCAGACTCTTTGATGGACAAGGAGATGCAGTGGCATGGCTCACAAAAGTGAAGTGTTGGTTGCTGGGTTGCAACATATCACTGACCTGTTGAGTCTGATCCCGCTGTACCATTGAAGGGAAGGCATTGGTTCTCTATATGGAGATGAATGAGATTGATATGACATGCTGAGATGATTGAGTCAATGCTACTCAAGGCTTTTACAGATGGACCTTTTGTAGCATATGGAAAGTTGATAAAACCCAAATGGACTGGCGAATCCATTAATATTTATGCTAACAACATAAGGTGATTGGCTGGATTCATGTGAAGAAGTGTGGCAAGGATGGTAAAGCTGACATTTGTACACGGATCCCCAGACCAAATATCGATTGAACGTCAGCAGCTGCCCCAGATGGAAACCACAGAGATGAGCAAGCTGATAACTGCCGAGAGTGGAGACAGACAATAGGTGCTGCTACAATTGTAGATCTGAAATCAGCATACCTGCAATTACATGTAGCAGAGAAACTGTGACAGCACCAACTTGTAAGGTACAAGAGGGATCACCTATTGCCTTACTAGATTGGGGTTTGGGTTGAACAAAAATCATAGTGCTCAAGACTGTACTGAAGCAGCAGGAGACAAATTCACAAACTCACATATCGATGACATCCTGGTGGAGGAGATGGTTGTGCACACAGAAAAAGTAAGGTGCCACCTCAAAAAATATGGATTAATATCAAAACCTTCAGAGTCACTTGACGGGGGAACAGCACTTGGGCTAAAGTTGCAGAAGGATAAAGAAACTGGAGAGTTGGTGTTTGGAAGGAGTAATGAGATTCCACCTGTGACAGATGAGTAAACGAGAATTGTTTTCAACATGTAGGAATATGGTGGGTCACTGCCCTGTGGCTGGATGTTTGAGGCTCGCATGCAGCTATATAAAAAGACAGATGGAGGAGATAAGGAGGGATGACCGAGTGAGAGAATCCAGTGAGAAGAAAATAGCACGTACCAAAGGTGGATGATGGTGTAGTTTGGTGTGATGCTAGTAGCATAGCAACGAGAATTGTATTGGAAGAAGGAGGTGTCAAAGCAGAGGATGCTGCTTGGTTGAGGAAGAAAACGGACACCAACCACATAAATGTAACAGAATTGTAAGCAGTAATGAAAGACATCATCTTGGCACTGCAGTGGGAGCTGAAGAACATAGAGGTGAAGACAGATTTGTCAACAGTGTTGGCATGGGTCGAGTCTGTTAATATGAAGGAGAGCAAGATACAGACTAAGGAAGCAGCAGAGATGCTCATAAAGTGTAGATTGTGAATTCTGGAGGATGTCATTAAAGAGTTTAACCTACAGGTTAGCGCCAGCCTTGTATTATCAGAGGTTAATAAGGCCGATGTGCTCACAAGGGTGAGGAAAGCTTGAATGAAAATGCCTCTTGTTGCAGCCAAAGAATATGCCATGTGCAATGTGGAAGATGGGGGCATCAAAAAATTGTATGAGATGCACCATATAAGTGTTGAGAGGACACTATACTTGGCCAAGAAGGTACACTTGACCGTCTCTAGAGGAGTAGTGCAAGCATGCCAGTGATGCCAATCAATTGATCCGGCACCAAGTATGCATGAGTCCAGTAAGGTTCAGGCCTCAAACAATTGGGCAAGACTAGCAATTGACATCATGTATTACCAAAATGGATCATATCTGTCGATTGTTGATTGCGAGCCTGACAGAATAGTCATATGGCAGGAGTTAAAGGGAGAACCAGGAACAGCGGTTGCATCTATGCTGAACAAGCTATTCCTAAAGAGAGGCCAGTGGAGGAAGTCCTAATGGATAATGGCACAGCTTTCACGTCAGCGCCAGTCAAGGCAATACTGGATAGGTGAAATGTGCAAGCATATTACAGGGCTGCATACAGACCAAGTGGAAATGGCATAGTAGAGAGGTACCACAGGACCGTGAAGGCAATAGCCAAGAGGGGTCAAATATCACCAATTGAGGCAGTCTACTGGTATAACATGTACCCTCGGGTAGGCCAGGAGGAGGATTTTGTATCACAGCACGCAATATTTCAGTAGGAGACATCCACTGGTCATCCCTCAAAATGAAGCAGCAACGAGGTTCAATTCAAGTTGGATAGGAGGTATGGATAAAGCCGCCTGGTGCTCCTGCGTCATGCGCAATGGGGGGCGAGGAATGGTGACGGGAGTACAAACACAGGATAATGTTTCTGTAGATGGAACACTCAGCACATCCTGGATGTACGACGAGTGAATGACAATGGATAATAGTGATAGTACATCGAGCCAAGGTAATAGTGATACAGATGATCCACCCACGTAGGTCAGGAAGAGAGGCACAACTACCTTATTGGGTACATGACTACGTGGTATGAGGATAAGCTTGTTGAGATCAAGGAGGTGGGTGGTAAAAAGATGAGAAAAAAAAAAGAAGTGAAAACTTACTGGTGCTGGAAGCAAAAGGCTAAAAAAAGTGTAAATAACACTTATATAGGAAGTGCCAATGCATTATGGGTAAGTGGTGGTTGCATAAATACTGGAAAGAATGATGGGCAGTGAGTTTTTTTTTCTTTGCAAATGCATGTCGATAAGTGAACAGACAGGAAAGGAAGAAAAGGAAAGAAAGAAAAAAGTTTGTTTTTTTTTTTTTTATTTATTGTCTCTGTATATCAACGAGACCATATAACTATAATCTTAAATGTTGATACCAGCAGACAGGAACGAACTAAAGGCATTTTTACTACACAATACTAGTTTATTAAGATACTAAACTTAGCTTCATCTGAAACAAGGACAGTTGTGTATCTGTTGACATTTGAATTTGTTAAATCAATACTATATAGTGCATTTATATAAATTTATGGTTGTTAATTTGTAAATAAGGAATAAATATACTTGATATAGTAGGATATATTCAAATAGAACACAAAAAAAAATTTATATTTATCTAACAGAGTTGTCAAACTAATATAAAACAAAAAAAAATTTACTACAATGAGTTGATTGTTTTCATTTTTTTTTTTTTTTACTGGGTGTTTTGTGCCATACTAAGCTATTTACTTAGTAAATATCAATTTATCAGTAGCAAGAGATTTACTCACACCAATGTGAATCAAATTTTGTTTGGTACTTCTTCCCTTCACTAAAACTGAATAAACAGATCAATATTGCCCTTTAGAGTCTTATTTCATTAGGTAATTTTATGGAAATATTGACTCTTTATAAGGGTCTGTGTCCTGACACATTAGCTGACTAATTTACAGACTGCATTAATTTTAAGAGACATACCGGCTGAGGTAGGAATCAAGATTCATGTACTGAGTTGCTAAAACCCATTCTAATTTTAAGATACCAATAACTTTTTTAGGTCCTAAATAATAATTTATATTTTACTGATTATACAGACAACTATCTATTGCTCAGACTTCCACAGACAAAAAAGTCTGTAGAACCCAGAGAAGAGAGAGTAAGAACTATGGATACTGATGTCAAGTGGAGAGAAAAAAATTGGTAAAAATCAATAAAGATGAAAATATTGAAGAACTTTTAAATTCCGATTTTAAAAAATTAATTAGAAATCTTACAACATTTAAAAGTTTCACTTACAACTTGAAGAATTCGTTCTCTCTCCGTTTCTGGCGTGAATTCATTGGATAAGCAGATTATTTCATCTTTCCGAATTACAACAGCACTAAAAAAAAAAAAAAAAAAAAAAAGTTTTGTTTTTTTTTAGGAAATTTTACTGGTACAAAGCTGTCTTAAGAAAAGGCCTAGCAAACACAAAGATTGTCTCTCCAATAATAGATAAGTTAATCCTAAATAAACAATAACCTGCAATTATTGAGAAAATGTAGATGATATTCAACAATTAACTAATTAATAACAATACCTAGTACTAGTAACAAATTTAGTATTTCAAAAAGCAGAGAAAATGTAACTGTATAAATCAAAGTGATTTCAACTTTTACAAAAATATTCATCAACAAATATTGAGAGAAACAATAATTTTGATAAGATTCAAAGTTTCAACCCAAAAAGTTGTGAAAAAATATCATTGAATGAAACTTTAGTTTCAGCTTCTCCCCAAATATTATTTGCTTTTAATTAATATATGAAGAAAAGATTTATGTTACTATAGAAACATTTTAAGATAACTTCAAAAATTTCAATGCTGATTCTTTGGTTACCTTCAGAGATTCAAACAAACAATTCTTGAAAAATATATTTGATAATATAACTCCATTTTCTCTTTTCATATTGAAATGATTGAAACTAACAAAGTTATTCATTAAAGAATTTCTGTAATCCTTTAATTTGACATCATAAAACAGAAAAACATCCATTGAACTGTACTATCCAGTGGTATTTTAAAATCAACTGCAATCTTTTTCTTTCAAAAAATTTCCATGTTCTTGATATTAAAAAGCTGTTATTAAATATTTTGTACTGTTTCATGGTTCCTGTGCCATCCATTTGTATTGCTAGCTACCATGTTGGGATGAGCAAATGGACAAGGAATTGATAGGGTTTGGTTTATTTTATCAGCACATCAACCCTTTTGCGTCATTTAATGCTGAAAAATTCTGGATTTGTATTCAATAATATCTTACAAAGTTTTAAGTTTTAAAATTTGTGAAATATAATTGGAAGTTAATTGTATAGTTCATCTGAAGGTGAAGTTGTTTGAATTAAATCTTTATGTATAATTTACTTTTCTTCGGATAGGTCAAAATGGTTTCTTCACTAACATTTTCAAAAAGATCTTTAAGGCTATTACCTTATAAAGGCATTGACAGATAAGACTAAATTCAGCACAGTTCATCATAAAATATTAACTTCTGTATGTCTCCTGCATTTGGGTGGATCCTTGTCTTTTAGGAGAAAAGAATGTCTAATAATGGCATGAATATTATTAATGACCCATATGTTGTTGAGAATTTTGAGTAGATAGTTCAAAGAAACATTTGGTAAGTTTTTTTAAGAATTCAACTGCTGAATTGTGTGATTTTCTTATAGAGTCTAGTAATTCTGGTTGTAATTTTCATTATTGTTAGAACAGAAATTTAATTTTTTCTTCTCTTCTTTTGTTTTGATATTCTAAAATACCTCACTAGAATTTTTTGAGAAAGAATTTTGAAAAAGTTTTGTGCTATGGAATGTGCTAAGAATCTCAGGTATTAAAAAATGGTATACTCAGATTTATAGTTTATATGTAGTCACCAATAATTTCTTTCGTTCATCTACCCCTGTAAAGTTGAAATATAAGCTTTAATCTTTGACAATACATTTCAATTATAACCAGTGTGACCTTTGCCATCGCCTTCTAGTACCAATTTGATTAAATTTGGCTGGTGTGTATATGATATTTTCTTTGAGAGGGGAGGTTGTGAAGTTGTGTTTTTGGAGGGTGAATTGTTACTAGGGTTTGACATGACTAACTGATTGATCAGATCAGGCCTCTCTGACCACCTGTCTAGCCCAAGTAAGGGCCAAAGAAGTATTCTACCATCTGAGGTCCTCAACTACCATGATCCCATCATCAGGCATCACAGGTCACCACCCACAGCAAACAGGTGGCCTCATTGAGGAGGTCTTACTCCTCTGCAGAGGTGCAGTTAGCTAACGGGGCAGGGATTTGGTAGGAGTAAGAGCCGATCTGTTAGATGAACAGAGCAGAAGTTATCCAAGATATCACCCACCTACCTACCTACCTACTTGGGTGAGCAGGTGAAGCCCTGAATAAAGCATACATATATACATATACATATATATTGTAGTGAAAGAGATAATCAGGTACCTCGAAAAAAAGTTTGTGTTTTGTGTGCGATCTGCTGAAGAAGGATTACCAAAAAGTAGTCAGCAAAAATCTTATAGCGAAGAAAACGGCAACTTACCTCGTCAACCCAAGCGACAGTGCATCGCGTGTATTCTGTGACGGAAAAAGAAACAAGTCCGTCACAGGAGTCGCTATAAGAAGATATTGATATGCAAATTACGGAGCATCTTATCCCAGCTGTCGACGAATGAAAAAAAATAGGTTCTGCCGATAAAAGCAGTTAGTGTTCTCGATTCGGGGGAAGGAAAATTCGGGCATTTTTGGCTACGGCGTTTGTTGGAGTGTGAGTTATTTTCCTGACTGGTTACATGCATTGTGATTTAAGATAGTACCGGCGAATCAAGTTTTCAGCATTTCTTTCTGCCCCCGATACTCGAGTCTGTACTTAGTGATTTTTCTTTGTGTTGTTGTGAAAGTAATCTGCAACAAATTTGCTTTGAGAACGCTTACACTTATATATATATATATATATATATATATATATATATATATATACACACACATCAAAAAAATAAGGCAAACCCTGCTTCCTATATATATGTGTGAAATTTAAGAACACAAAAATTATACACCAGCAAACTGCTACAATGTAGAGTCAGTCAAATGGTAATAGTAACAAGAATCTCAAATATGCTAGACATGATCTTTTTAATTTAATATGAACCCTGAAAAACATCCTAATATTTTAAGTGGTTATTTATAAAAGATTTGCAAGGATTGGTCAAAAAGATAAAAAAAGACTCTTGTTAAGAAAATTAAATGTAATGCAACATGAATAAATTCTTCAATTTCATCCTACCTAACAAGGAAAACATGAAAGGCACCAAACAATGTTTAACTGAAATCTTTGATGAAAGATCCTTCCAGACTAGATCTAAGTGCCCAGAACTTACCATAAGATACGAATGAGAATTTCATCACTCATTCAAATTATGGCCAATAAAAATGTGAATATAGATATTGATGTCTGTCTATATTTCTGGTATTATGTACAGTATTTACATTAAATAGGCCGGAGCGTACAACAGCCGAAACGTTGTGACAAATATGGCGACAAAGATGAGGACAATAGTCTGACTAATGTAAATACTATAGATATTGATATAGAAAAGTGACCAAAGAACCCCAAAAATTAATCAATTTTAAAACCTTTTTGTACAGAAAAAATGAATAAATAAATAAACTTATGATTAATCAGGAGTCAATAAAATTTTTAAAACAATAGGGAAGTGGAAAAGTCACTGGGATTTTGTATAAAAAGCAAACAAAGCTTATATATAACATTCTACAAGACCATGGCTACCGATTCTCACACCTGTAATAGATATTAGTTTATCTGGTCAACAACTCACAAATTGTTAGATCATCTAGTTCACTATGCATCCATGGGTTTGTTGTCTAATGTAAATGATCCTTCACCTTCCAGTTTCTTTGAAATGAAATATGTGATTTCCACAAAATCACACACAATAATGACCCTCAACACCTGTTTAGCATTCCATTTTTTGCTTTTTATGAGGATATGGGTTGCTAGTAAGAGACAAGATACTGAGGCTTAAAGCATAATTATTCTACAGGTATAATACTAAAAAACTAATAATGCAGTTTATGGCTCTTCTCATCTTATAACTCCATGCATGTTCCTTAAATAAATAATTTGCTTTTACCCTGATATTGATGAACAACTAATTTCTTGCAATTAATCTCAAGTTCCAAAGGTTCATTCATTGGGTGAAAACCAGAAGCCCCTAATGTTGACAAGTGACCCAAGATCCAAATATTGTGTTGTAGTAACCCACCTACAGCAGAATGAACTCTTCCCCTTTCATAAATACTGTGTATGTGGGCAGCAGACACGCAGTGTTAACCTGATCATTCAGACGTATACTTCTATCTGCTTATTATTAACACTCTTACTTTGTATATATATCCGTTATTTCAATACACTTGTTCAACCTACCTTCATCTTCTTTGTCTTTCTTTCTGACCCCCAAACAGGCCACAACAACTTGACAAGGATTTGCAAGGATTTACGAGGATTTGCAAGGACCACCATGATTAAAAAGGAACCCTCCCAAAAATACGGAAAAACAAGTTTTTCGTAAAAGACACACTTATGGAGAATTTCAAAAGTATTTTATTAGATCTTGCAAAAATACCAGAATGCACTGCAATTACAGCTTCAAGAAAGAATGGAAGAGAAGTGGCAAAAACAACTGCTCCCTCAACAGGAAAAAATGGAAAATTTATTGCGGCAAACCCAGAAGGAAAAATCAAGAGAGCTTGAATTTCAAAAGCAAGTGTTAGAACTGACAAGCCATAGAAATTCCATCGAAAATGAATTTTCTCTTTTGCAAAACACCACTTGGAGCATGATAGAGAATTTTTTATACAATCTCAGGCAAGATATAACCTTTGCGTCATACTTTAGGAGGTATAAGGACTTGTATACTTCAGATTGTGCAAATTGGAGTGACTCGAAAAAAAGTACGTCTTCTTCTGAGGAAACTTGGCACAATTGAGCATACAAAATTCGTAAACTACATTCTGCCCTGTAAGACTAGAGAGTTGACATTCACCGAAGCAGTAGAATTACTAACAGAGCTCTTCAGCCCAAAGACCTCTCTTTTCCATAAGAGATGGAAATGTCTTAATCTAACTAGGAAAGAATGGGAAGACTACACCACTTTTGCGTCAATTGTAAACAAGCACTGCAATGATTTTAGACTGATGGAGCTAAGTGTGAATAACTTCAAATGCTTGATATTCATGCAAGGACTAGTTTCAACAAAAGATGTAGAAATTAGGCAAAGAATACTAAACAAATTGGAGAATGAACCGAATATAACTCTACAGCAAATCGATGAAGAATGTCAGAGGTACGTCAATTTAAAGCAGGATTCTAAAAATATCAAAGAATCGGGTATTGTTCACGCCAAAAAAGTATGCTACAAGCAGAAACAAACAAAGTCTACTAAAACTGATGAAACAAAGAAAAAGCAAAATAAGTTGCCCCTAACCCATACTACGGATGTGGGGCCCTACACTGGTACAAAGATTGTATGTTCCAGAACAAAAAAAATGTTACATTTGTAACCGAGTCAGACACAAAAGTTCGCATTGCCAATCTAAAAATAAAACCAATAGCTAAATAAAAAATACAAGGTCGGACAAACTAGATAGTGCTAATATCAGGAAATTCATACACGTAAAAATGTTAAACAAAAGTTTGGAATTTCAACTAGACTTGGGTTCTGATTTGACAATAATTAGCCTGCTAACATGGAAAAGATTGGATAAGCCAACCATGATAAAATCTAGCAAGATTGCAAGATCAGTAACCAGGGAAAAAATTAAATTCAAGGGTGAATTGATTGTTAATACAATGTTGAACGGGAAGACTCTTAAAATTGTTTGTCCTGAAAAATACTAACAACCTATTGGACACTGACTGGATGACAATTCCAGTTTTGGGACTTACCTATAAATTCATTCTGCCAAAAAATTGAAAATTGGAATGCCAAAGCTGAAAAACTGAAAAATGAACTGAAGGAAGCCTATCCAGAAATTTTTTCTGGTGGGTTAGGCAGGTGTAACAAGATGATGGCAAAAATTGAGCTACAAGACATCATGCAGCCAGTGTTCAAAAAGAAGTGAAATGTGCTTTTGCCACATTGGAACAAATTAATGAGGAACTTGCAAGATTAGTAAAAACTGGAGTTCTATCAAAGGTAGAAACAAAGAATAGTTCATCTAAAAAGGCTAAAAATTTAGCTGCTAAGAAAGTGAAACTGAATAAATTAGCTAAGGTAAAAACAAAAGTGCTTCATGCTGACAAGAAGACGAAAAAGAAGAAAGTTCTTGGAGGCAAAGTAGCCAAAGCAAAGAAACTGGCTCAAGGAACACAGGCCTCTATTCCTAAACAGAAACAGAGCAAGAAAGTTGCATCAGTTTCAGCAAACTCTGGTAATGATCAGAAAAAGGTTGTGTTAGACTTAAGAAAAAAACCTGGTCCAGTGAAAGGGAGTAAGCGTTTTGGTGAAAAAGGTATCAGTTTCTGGAGAAAACAGCACAAAATCCACAAAGTCAGCAAAACCCTTGTCAAAAAAAAAAAAAAAAAAAAAAAAAAAAATTTCTTCAGACTCCTGCAGAGTTAAGATTTTAGGAGGGGGGTGTTGTAGTAACCCACCTACAGTAGAATGAACTCTTCCTCCTTTCATAAATACTGTGTGCGTGGGCAGCGGAGATACAGTGTTAACTTGATCGTTCAAACAGACACTTCTATCTCTTTATTACTAACACTCTTACTTTCTATATAGCTGTTATTTCAATACACTTGTTCAACCTACCTTCATCTTCTCTTTCTTTCTTTCTGGTCCCTAAACAGGCCACAACATATTGGATAGTTGAGTAACTGTTGTGTAGGAACCTACCACCCCTCTAAAAGATGAACTCGTCTACGAACAAGGACGTTAACGAGTGGCATGTAAAAAGACAGCAGTAGTAGAAGTTCTTGTGCTAAGTTAGTTAGAGACTACTCAGGCGATATCTGTACCAACTTACCAACCGAATAAACCCCATTTTATTGTTACATGTTATTTGGCGTTTGTCTTTATTAATCCCAAATTAACATCATAACAGTAACTAAATTATCAAAAAAGAATGAATGACTTTGTGTCCTTCTATTGTTAACTTCTGAAACCAAATTAAAGCGGATTTACTTGTAAGGGTAGCTTCTGATTGAAACTACAACCAACTTGTATATTTATCAAACATAATCATTGCTTCAGTATTTGAAATTGAAATTAGGGCTGTTTAACTTTAATATGGCCTATATTATCATCCTCCTTGTCTTAAAAATTTTCTGGCACAGTTATAAATTCAACATTACCATGGTCACATAGGTGTTCATACCACAGGCTATCTGCATTGAAACAATCATTTATTTCTACTTCATTTACATAATTCTTTAACACTGCAAATCGTTCAATGAAAAAAAAATTTTTTTTTTTTCTAAAATCTCAAAGCACTTGTTGGAGATGAAATATTAGAATGGGTTTAGTGCGGATAATTAAAAAAAAAATGTCTGAATGGTTTAAATTTTTCTCTTCATTTCTAGATAATCAAAGTCCCCCAAAATTGAGGGAGTACTGTATACTAAACTGATACTGGAGTTGTTTATTATTTATTGTGAACAGAGGACAAGGAAAATACTCACCGACTATCTCCTGCTTGTGCTACATATAATTTGTCTTGTAGAAGCACAGATACCAAAGCTGTGCAGCCTCCTGTGTTGGGACAGGAGTGTCTTTCTTCAAAGATCAGGTCATCCTAAAATAAAAAATAAAAAAAGTGAAGTAGTACATAATTTTTTTGTATGACTTATTAGTTTCTCTTAAAAAAAACTAAAATGGTAAAAATATTTAAATTATTATAACAATTCATTCAGCAGATACAAAATAAAGTTGCATTCAACATTTAAATGATAACCAGTTAAGAACTTATTTTTCCTATTTAATTCATATGGAGAAAGACTGAGTTAATTTTAGTTATACTGGATTTACTCAATCCTGACAAGTTATACTCCATATGTGTTTCTTCAATTTGTCTTTATCTTGACATTGATGTAAAACTAATTTCTTGCAATTAATTTCAAGTTCCCATGATTCTTTCATTGTCTGAAAACCAAATGTTGATATGTAATTTGAAGGTGGTTAGTCTAAGATGCTAAAAATGATTAAGTTTACTTGAAAACCAATAAAAAAGTTATGTGAATTTACTAACAACCATTTTTTGACTGTACCAAAGAAACAGGAGTAAAATACAAGCCCCCCAAATTATTTTATAGCAGCTAAATAATACAAATATAATAGAGTTGTCAAAAATGTCAAACAAATTTTATGATAGAGACAATAAGCTTCCTTCTCAGAATGAAGACTTCTTATAACCAAATCTCAGATCTAGAGAGTTCTTGTTGCAGAAAGTTAATAAAAAACCTTTTATAATAGAATTAATTAAAAATGTTTTTTTACTAACAGAGAATGAGGTAAAAAAAAAGTAACAAAGAGATGCAAGTGATTTGGCAGGTGCATGGAAGATGTTGCTCTATACTAAAGACACCCCATTTACTATCAGACCAACAGAAAATTGCTTGCATTTAATGACAAATTTTTATGAACATCAAGGAAGTACTGTATACTGTCTGGAAAAAGATCCAGCCATCTGAAGAACCGGCTGTGTTGCCTCAATAAAACTTGGCAACTAATCAGAAAGCACTTTACTATGCATGTGCCAGCAGACCTTCTCCCATGGAGTTACTCAGTTGGCAGTGAGGTGCTATTTAGTGAGCTTGTGTACTGTTTGGTCGTTGCATTAACAATTTGACCTCTTTAACAATTGAGCTCTTTAATCTGGAACCTTTTGAAATCAGCCGCCATTAATTTGTTGAGCATTTATGAGGACAGCACCATACAACTTTTCACAAGAGCCAACAGCAGCAGTGTTTTGGTGATACAGTCTTGCTCATATTCTTATATATAACTGTATTCAGGATAGTAAGAGTATATTATTTTTTAGTTTTAGGCTTTTTTTTTTTTAGCCCTTGAATTGTATGAAACAATAAAAAGCTTGTTTGGAAGCATTAACGATTGTATTATTTCCTGTTTTAAACTATGTTCTACCTTTGATAACACAGCAATATATATGTGGAATTAGCTGGCAAGACTATGTTTACATAGGTTTTTTTTTAGGGGGTGTTTTCTGTCATCCTGCATTTTCTTTGGTCCAGCAGTGGCCTGGTCCCAAGGGTGATGAATTAAAAAGGTTGGAATGTACCTGTGACTTCTGTTTTTTTCCATAAAGCTGAAAGGGAGTAAACTTCAGATTGTAGACAAGATTAAGAATTATGGTAATTACAATGAAGCAATGCCATAAGAATGATTTTGGAAACTGCTATGTAAGGTCCCAGGAAGATTAAGCCAGCAATGCCCTATAAAGTTATTTCTTAATATTAAATAGCTGGACACTTTCTGGACAGATGATACTGTTATCATTTTTTCTGTCAATAATGTATGCCTTAGATTCCCAATGAATTCTATAACTCCTGTCTTAATAGTAAGTCTGATCAGTTTGATAAGGTCAAACTGGCAGCAATCTCAAAGGGAGCTTAAAATCTGCTGTTAACTGGAGCAAGAAATAGCTTAATTTTAATACCCCCAAAACAAATCTGCTCTCTATTAATCATCTGAGAGAGCCATTTCTTCCTTCCATCAGCATGGCTGATGCTAACCTCTAGAAGAGCAACTTGTTATATGTTCTCTGCTGGCATGAAGTGGAAAGATTATATTGAATCAATTGCTAGGTTTTCTGCTAGTAAAGTTGGTTCACTGTGTCATGTTAGACAATTTTTTGCTCCAGAATCTATCTTAAATATTCATACAGCTACCATTCATCCATGCTTCAAGTATTGCTGCCACATATGATCTGGTGTGCCTGCTATATATTTAAAGATTCTTGATAAAGAAGAATATACAATGTTATTGGTCCTGACCTGGTATTCTGACTTCAGTCACTTTACCACTGCCATAATGTAGCCTCCCTGTGCCTTTTCTACAAATACTTTCATGGTAATTTTCCTGATGATCTTTCCTCTATGGTACCCAGACTTTATGAATTTAAGTACAGTACTAGATTGACAGCGAGATCTCATCATTTTACAGTTGAATTGGCTAAATGTAACCATAAGTTCTATGCGGACAGTTTTTCTTGCACTTCTCAACTGTGGAAATATCTTCTGGCTTTCTCCTTTCCAGGCAATTTTGATCTTCAAAAATTTAAATGCAATATTAAGCATTATCTACAGTCTTCTTGATTCCTCTTTTGTTGTTCTCATGCCTTAATGTTTTTCTTTTTCTTTCACACTCAGTAATCAGTGTCTTAGTACCTTTACTACTTTGCTTGGGATGAAATGATTAAAAAAAATTATTTGTACGAAATTTACTATAGGTTCCTATTTATGCAGATAATTGTCTTATCCTGTCAATATCCTTGCCTACAATGCCTGACCACCAACAATCCCATTTTAGCCTGCATCTTAACACAACAGAGTAATAACACTTGTAAAAATAAATCATAAGGCAAAAATTATAAAATAGATTGCTAAGCACAAAAAAATACTTTTCCTTACAGCTAGAAATATTTATTTTTTATAACACAAAAAAAGGACTAAATCTATGAATGAGAAGAGTGAAGTAACAGTAAAGACAGTGGGCACTGATGAGAAAAACTGATATTTTACCTTCATACACCAAGTTCAAATACAGTGAGTGTGTAAATTAAATTGTGATGGTTTTACTCCCAGAATTTACTGCCACTACAACACTTACAGGCCATACTGAAGGTCAGAGAAACACAAGGGAAGCAGTAAATAACTTACCTAACAAGCTTTTGACAGAACAGGGATTTGGAGAAATAAAAAAATAAAAAATAAAAAAATATACCAAGAACAGGAAATTTTGAGAGTCATAAACACCCACACCCCAAAGGGACAGGTCACAGAGAAAAAGAATATATGTAATTCGATTACATATCTCATATCATGAGTTACATAAACAGTCACCACATTTTTGTTCTCAATCATATGATTTGCAAGACTTGTCAATTTTTTTTCTGGGTTCAAACTCAAAGTAAATACATCTATTATGCCGGTTTACTGAAGATGCCAGAATTATACTTACCATTTCAAAGAAAGAGGATTCCAAAGCCCCAATAATGAGATCATCAGTATTGATTGTATGGTAAAGGGAATTGCATTTGTTGGACAACAAATCCAAGTCTAGAATTTTGGTTAAGTGTTTCTGTAAGAATTGAGAAAACATTTTTTTTTAGAACAAGAAAATAATACACAACAAAAACTATCAAACAAGTATCAATTAAAAGATGAAAGCATGCTTATGAAATAACTGAAGCTTTATTTTTTAAACATCTAAATAGATTCATTACTTTTTTTTTCAACATCTGCATAATGTTTATTTTAACATGTTCAAAGCTACCATACATATCTGAACATACAGTGTAACAAAATATTTTTGCCTCATCAACCTAACTGATTCTAACCTCCAGGATAGCAACTTACAACATCTTGGTCTTTCCACTGACATGAAGTCAAATGATTATATTGAATTGTAGGTCTGTATTGTGCCAGAATCTTGCACATTTATAAATCTACCATTTTCCCATGCATTGGATACTACTGATATATTCTGGTGTTTCTACTATATATCTCAAAATTTTTCAGAAAAATCAAAAAAAAGGGTCTGTAATGTTTATCGGTCATGACCTGGCATCTTGACTTCAATAACTTTCACACTGCCATAACATAGCTTCCCTCAGTCTTTTCTATAAATATTTTCATAACAGTTGTTCTAATGCTTTCTTCTTTGGTACCTCAACTGCATGAATTTAAGCATAATACTAGATTGGCAAGTAGGTCTCATATTTTTATTGTTGGAATAGCAAAAGATGTAACCATAAGTTCTCCATCCATCAATAAACTACGTCCAACAGCAAGGCCTCTGATCAGAAGGCTTTGATGAGCATGGAACCATCTCTTAATTGCTGGTGTTCCCAGGTCCACCCTGACCCGGGGTGGTAGCACCTGTTAGGGCCCCATCTATGGGCAAATAGTTAACCCTGAAACTGAGGTAAAAAGCATTATGAAAGTGTAAAATTAGGTTTTAATACCAGAAACACTTTGTAAAAAAATTATTACCAGAAATAAATTTTTGAAGAAAAAACAAAAAAACAAAACAAACTATTACCAGCAATAAGTTTAAAAAAAATATTACCAGCAATACATTTTTTTAAAAATAATATTACCAGCTATTCATTTTTGAGGAAAAAAATATTACCAGAAATAGATTGTTGACAAAACAAAATATTACCAGAAAAAAAAAAAGTTGTCAGCATTAAATGACCCATTGAGGTTGATATGCCGTAAAACAAACCAAACCAAACCATAAGTTCTATTCTAATAGTTTCTTTTCTTGCCTGTGGAACTCTTCTGGCTTCCCTGCCACCTATGATCTTTAAAAAATTAAATGTAATATCCATCATCATCTTTTGTCTTCCTGAATCCTGTTCTTTTATTGTCGTAACTAGTAACTCCTTGCATCTTAGTCACATTATCACTGTTTGGGTTGAAATTTGAAAAAAAAAAAAAAAGAAGAAGAAGTCCTCTGCTCCATATTAGAAGGCACAAAACTGACTCTCACATGTTGCCATGGCAATTTATACAACCTTAAATCAAATCATACAATTAATGCATCAAAATATGACACAGGATGCACATGTATCACACGGCAACAAACATTTTAGAAGCCTTCCATTTCTGTAGGCAAATGAACATTTTTTTTTTTTTTTTTTTTTTTTTTTTAAAATCAGTGGACGTAATTTTTTCTGGAATTCATAAAATAGCAATTAGTGCTCTTTGACATATCATATAACTTGGTGCGATAATGAAAGGAAACAAGAAAAGCCAATGTTGTTGAAGCTGATCTATGAGATGAACTACTATCATATGTTACTGAAGAGAGTGAAAAAGATCCAAAACTATAAAACAGAGTGGAATTTAATAAGCTCTTAATTATTTCACTGGTAAATGATTTTATGACATTTCTAATGTTAAATGATGGCAAATAGTTATTTAATTTGATACCATATACTAATGAAATAAAACAATAAAATGGCTTTTGGTGTCTGGTTTAAAAGTGCAGTTGTCATTGGATATTGAGAGAATTATGAATTTGGATACATAAAAAATCAGATCATAAACTGGATTTTATATGATGATTGGTTAGTGACACTGTTGATGAAAGCCAAAGACTAAAAGATGATAAAAATGAAAATATTGTTTAAGAGAAATCAATCAGAAATGATGAGAGCTTCAGTTTAGAATGAAAGTAGAAGGATCACTTACCATGAGACAGATATGCAGATTCTGTGATGCCATAACTGCAGCACCATATCCACCATGTCCATCAAAAATGCCAAAATATGTAAACTCTACTTTGTTCTGAAAATAACCAAAATTTCAGGTTAACTTAAAAGACATTTCTTCCAATATAAGATGTCAAAAACTGAAATCAGTTTAGATGTCACCAAAAAGTGATGACTCGTATCCTAGTTTTAACTGGTAAAATTGAAAATAATATCATACTTATTATAAAACCCACGTTGTGTGTGTGTGTGTGTGTGTGTGTGTGTGTCCGTTTATATATGGGATCGGATTTCCTACATTTTTCAACCGATTTCAACAAAACTTCACTTTTTTTTTGGCAGGTAGTGTTTCTTATTGTCTAGCACACTTTTTTCTTTATTTTTACATTCAGAATACTTTAAAAATTCCATTTACAAGACAATTGTTTATAATAAAATTATATTCAATTGGTAGACTCATAACGATTGAAAACAATGTTTTTGTTTGAGTTGGGGTTTGACCAATTTGTAAAAAAAAAACAAAAAAAAAAAATAATTAAGACATGCGTGTCTGTCAACCTTAAACAATAATCTTTGTCAATTTTATTTTTCAGTCTTTATGATGGTCGATACTTGATCTATCTCTTACTGTTACAATGCCGGGCTCTACTGCTAGTCACTAATAAAAACAGTTTATTTTCTCAGTCTTAATGACTATGATTCATATAAATTAAATTTCCTATATAATAAAAAATAAGCTGAAAGAATGAAAATAAGTCTAAAAAATAAATATGTAGTCAACAAAAAAAAAAAAAAAAAAAAAAAAAAAAAGATAAAATTCATTTATCTTCTTAAGAAACAAAACAAGTATAATACCCACAATGGAACAAAAACAATTTATTAAGCCTGAAATCAAACAAGGAAACACCTGTGCACAAAATTAGCTGTTATCAAATCCAGCAGCACCCAAGAAAAAAGGAAGAAGGCAAACCTTCCAATTATTTTAACTTATATTATTTTTTATCTGTTCCTAAACATATTTCATGTATATGCAACAACCAATTCTGAGCCAACAAATACTAAACAAAAATAAAATATACTATTCACAACTATTTACATTTGGCATCCATGCCTGTCCCCTGAATACCATTTCATAGTTGTACATCCAAACAAGGTGACCTTTCTGGGGCTGCAGCTTGAACTTCATCTTTTACCATTACTAGTCTCACTATCCAATGACTTGACAGCCTTTGGTTCACCAAGATGTCATGGTATTCCATCAACCAAAATTTTAAGAGAACACACACTTTTTCCCATTGTGACAAGCAGTATACATCAGGCAGCTTCACCCAAACCTCCTTTCCAATTCGGATAGATGTACGCTCCTTCTCTTCTTCAGCAATCATGAGCACAGCCCTTGGATGATTCAATTTATACCTAAATACAACTCTGTATAAGGCATCCACTCCCTCACAAACCCCAATGTAAGTCTAACTAAGCATGATTTTTCTTACCCTGGAAAGAATATATGTTCTTTTCCAAGGGCACAAAGTCTAAATACAATCTAAATTAGTCAATCATCTCACCAAGGGAAAATTGATACCCAGTATCTAATTTGGTTTCATTGAAGTGGTTACAATCATTCTTTTTTTCTTATTACCATCAAAATAATGCCAACTGCCACACTACACTGTATAAACCCTTTCTCCATTTTCGGTACATATCATCTTCCTTCCTTTTATAACTCTTCCATAATGTCTCTTACCATCATAACACTTCACCCATTTTATCTTCTTAACTCACTCCATCCTTTTAGGATAAATGCACATGAGTCAGAGCCAACGAGCAATAGGATACAGTCCCATCAGTCTACTGTAGAATGATGATAGCTCCATTTTGTTCAATTTGTCTTTCATTCTTGTGATCTTGTGATCTTCCTTTGAAAAGCCAGCTTGTTTGCTTTGTCCCTCTATAATCTGAGACCCAATGCTACCAGTATCATCTTGACAACAAATGCAGAGTCCAACCCACATCCTGGTCAGATTGTATGTCCTCCCCCTACATATATATATATATATATATATATATATATATATATATACATATATTTTTTGTTGAGGCAGAGTCAAGGACTAATCTCACACAAAGTAAGGTGGTTCCTGCCTCACAAAGGATTTGTCATAATGATTAAAAGCAAGGTTTTTACAAGGATAGATGCTCTCCCTGACATCTAACTCACTTATGGTAGTCCTAGTACACTGAGTGTTTTCACCAAGATACCATCTTTTAGGAAAGATGCCATTCAAGGTTTGAGACTCCATCCTATATATATATATATATATATATATATATATATATATATATATATATATATATATATATATATATATATATATATATGCTGTTGGGTCCTTTTTGTATACAATACCTATGAACACTAATGGGTATGTCCCAAACCTCATAAATAAGTCGGACACTATTGTAAGTCGAGATAATATGCTGTCTAAATAGTCCACCACTAGCAGCGGTTTACCTACTTCATGCCACTGGCGAGCATTATATTTTGTTGATGTTATAAATATTACTATTTCATTTCCAACCTCCATTTTGGTTATTCCTCATTCAGCAACTCTTTCTAGATTAAAACAGTCCTTTAAGAACCTCATCCACTCTTTGATTAGTTTTGTTTATTGTCCTGTGGTGTCACATGTCCCCCCACCACCAACAGCAGCAGAAAAGCTAGTGGGGGAGTTGGTTTAGATGCCAACCACCTATCCATGTTGCAGGATGTACTGGGTTACATGTTACCAGTAGCAAGCCTAAGCCTGACCTGAGGCTCCCATAATTTATTTACACAATACTGTAAGCAAGTTGATTTTATCTACAATCCAATCATAGAAACACCAGACATCTGTTACCATCCCCAAGCTTTTCTCATACACACCCACATCACTATTGAAAACTTGAGTCATGTTTTTAAATAGCCTCGTCAGATCAAAACACAGATGGATAGTGTGCATAATGCGTAACCTGTTCAGAAATAAAAAAAAAATTAAAAAAGTGTGTATGTGTGTGTGTGTATATATATATATATTTACACACACACTTTATTTTAAGATATTACATCAAAAAACATGTCAAAAAAAATACACATTATTATATATATATATATATATATATATATATATATATATATATATATAAGATAGAGAGAAGAGGCATGGTGGAGTAATAGATAGTGGCTCAGATTGAGGAATTAGAGAGCCGAGTTCGAATTCATTACATTCACTTACATGATAATACTCTTGGGAAAGGTATGAATCCTCTTCTTCTCTCCCTAACTATTGGTAAATAGCAGAACAGACCGGGTTCTATAGCCTTGGATGGCAACTGGTCTACCACAGAAAGTAATGCCAACTTACTGCTGAAAAAAATCTACCTCATCAGATATGCATCGAAAGATACATGATCACCTAAGTGTGTATGACACATGGCACATAACTGACTGATATATATATATATATTTTGAAGATAAGCTTTGGAGTAAAGGCCTGTAATAAATATTTTTGATCCCCCTAATATTAAACTATAAATAAAAATAATCAAAGAGTAATAAAATTCTAACAGCCAACTTATCAGGACGATCTAATTTTTAGCCCTCCTCACTTCCAAAGTTTTTAGTTTAGATTATCACTCACCTTCAACTCTTCGACAACCGTTTGTTCATTATCAGGACTTTCATTACTGATAGTCTCATCAGTTTTATTTACTGATGCAATATTTACATTTGTTGCATGAGTATTGCTATGACGAGAAATGACACAGCGCACAGCAACAGCCTGATCTTCATTGAGTTCTGACTTGCCAGCATTTATAACTCTGCAAAGACAAAAGAACACCAATCAGTCTTGTTGAAAAAGAAAAAAACAAACAAAAACAGAAGCTAACTTAGACAAAAAAACAGAGAAATGAAAAAAAAAATGAACATATTAGAGAGCATGATGGGAAAACTCAAAGGTTGAAATTATGTCAGAAAAATTTGCTCACAGAGGAAAAGAAGGTTGCAAAGAGAGAGAGAGAGAGAGATTTGCAATGTGATTATTTCCAAATTTAGTCTGATGAAAATGTTTTTTTAATTCCACTAGAGCTAGCTATATGTTGTGAAATAGATGTGAAAACACTGGAATCATTTTACAGGAAATTTCATGAGTACATTCAATCGAAAATTTGATTCAAAGATACATTTAAAAAAAAATAAACTTTTTAAAATGAAAATAACTATTTTAAAAATTAAAACAAAAGAACTATGCATAAAAATAGAAATTTTGAACATTGTTAAAAACTCACCTGCACATTTTTCTAATTTATAGCTGAGATTAATGTTTTTTTTTTGATAAAATATTTTCATTATCAATCAACAGATGTGAAAATTTCACAGGTGTTTACAATTAAGACAACTCTGCTCGTTTTCTTTTTGTCTGCATCTTTTCAATCTCCAAGCTTTATTGCCTGTACATATTTAATATAATGTTATAAAAACATAGGTTAGTTACTTTTTTTGAAAAAGGTCTCAAGAATGCATAAATATTTTCTCTTGCATCCTTTTTATGTTGCTTTTGCTCTCTTTCTTCATAAGGAATTTTAATGTGTCAACAAGTTTACAACTTTTCATGCCTACCTACCTTTCAATCTTTTGCTCACTGTCTCTAAATATAAAGACAGCAAGCCTGTTACTGACTTTAATCATCATCCCTTCCTCTATGATAATTCAATTCCCATTCTGTGAAAGCAAAAGTTGCATACTTGGTCATTATTGGCTGATTATCACCTTCAAAATCCTCTCCTTCTGAAGTTATGCACTTCATGGGATGATAGTGCCATTGCTGGAAGCATTCTTGGAATTCTTGTTTTCTAGAATACATTTCATTAGTGTAGTAACATACTATAGGTTGTAAAGATATTTCTCAATGTGAGAAAGAGCCCCAAATCACAAGGAACTAACTTTTGGTGAATAGAATGGATAATACATTTTTGTAATGGAATTCCTGGTCAGCAACTTGTAAATTCCTAATGAATCATGCGCAGGTGTATTGTCATGGCAGAGGATCCACTTGTCAAACGAGATTTTGTGTTTTTTCCTCTGAATGGATTCTCATAACTCTTTCAGCATTTCCAAATAAATATTTATATCTGTTTTTTGTTGCCCATTTCTTGCATCATGCACACCTCACTTTTCTTTGAATCACCTGCACTTCTCAAAACAACATCCAATTTCTTCATGGCATGTTCACCATAAAACATTTTTAATAGGGCTAACATTTCATTAGCACTTCACACAAAACTTGATGTTAAACCATTGCTCTAAATTCCTTTCATTCATTTTCCACAGTATAATATGAACACATACAACTTCCTCTACTACTCGGTAACAAGTGATTCACCTCATCTGTGTCTTGAAAATAGAAAGTAAAAGTTGGAACATGTTTGGATATATGCTTGTATTTATCTGGCTTATTAACCCAATGACACATTGCAGTCATTCTAGGAATTAATTTGTTATACCTGACACACTTGTTTTTCTTTTCATTTTTCTCTAGTTTTCTTACTCACTTAGTTTTCCTTCTTCACACCTTTTTCAGTCCTACTTTCACCAATTCCATACCACTTAATATTATTATGTAGCTAGAAAGCCAAACAGATTCAACCTCAGAAGTGCAGGGAATTGGGAAGATACTACACTGATTCTTGGGAGAAAAGTGCAACAGTCATACAAACAAGCATTTTTAATTCTTTTCATGTTGATAATCTATAATTTTTTAAATTTTACTCTATAAAAGGCTCAAGAGTCACTCAAAACAACTTTAAACTACAATTCATCTGGAAATAATTATAATAATAAAAATGATTAAATTTAATTTTCAAATCTATGTTAAAAAATTCTTTTGATTTTAAATTTATGACAGAATAGCAATAATTCTTTTCATGTTGATAATCTATATTTTTTTTAATTTCACCCTATAAAAGGGGCTCAAGTGCCACTCAAGGTACAGGGTTACGGTAGCTAATGCTGTACAAGGTACATGCTATGAATAGAAAAGGGGATGGTAGGAAATGAATATTGTGAGGATAAGCAAGAAATATGCTGATTAACCTTTAAAGAGGTCAAGATTGCAGTGTTCAGGGAAGCACTCACACAACAGTCTCTTCTACAAAGTGGTAGTTCTTCAGAAAAAGCTGTCTCAGTGGTACATTATTCCTTATGCTTAGACAAAATGGCACAGCGTGTCATGAAAGTCCTAACTAAAAAATGGAAATTGTAAACATTTGCCATGGAAATAGCAATAGAAATATTTTGGCAAAGAATTTTACTATTTATTTTATTTATCATGACAAAAAATTTTAATATATTTTTTTTGCTTTAAAAATGCAGAAGTCAGTATTTTGAAAGAAAATAGCCTCATGAAAACTAAAACAAAAGCCAAAACAAGTATATGAAAAAGGTTTTAATAATTAAAATTCATTGGCAATATTTCACTTTGGATGTTTTCAAAATGACAAACTGATATCACTCCCTTTTATCACATTTCATTTGTTAACGTTCAAAAGTTATTGCAGATTATTTTTCTGATTAAGATTTTGTTAAAATGTGGTCAAGTGACCACCTCATCCAAGATTTTAGTAGTATATGAATGTTTCATGGATAGAGTGAACGAAGTAGAAGTACTAAATAAATGAAAATGAGCATAAGGACACAAAAAGTTGAGAAAACTATAATAAAAACAAACAAAATTGTTAATTAAAATGTATAAAAAAATGCTTAATTAAGGCTTCAGATTAGAATTGGTGAGAGTTAAAACTCATTCAGGTTGGTCTTACAACCTATCAGTCTAGAAAAACCTCCCCACACTGAGTTCTACCTGTACTAAGTAGCAAGATTGTATCCATCGCCAACTTTCTAGGCTTGTCACTTACAGCACCTGGTATTTCCCAGCAGTCTCCCATCCCAGGTTTAATATTGTTTAACTTTGTGATCAGACAAGAAGCAGTGTTTCAACAAGATATGGCCACAAGCTGTCAAAACCCATATTCCTAATTTAAAAGAGTGCATATATAACAGAATCTTTGAATGATGGAGCAAGCAAAAATTATCCAAATATTTTTCTAGTCACCCAAAATACATACATTTCTCCCTCGACCCTACTTCAGAAAATAAATATATTTATGGGTTCATCTAGTGGCCCCAGCTAGCCAGCTCAGAGCATCTGCTTTTTTCTTTCTTTTTTTTTTGCTCAAGAGAATCTTCCTTGTCTGAGGAAAAGGCCTATGTGACAACTCCAGGGTCTACACTTGCAAACACCGGGGGAGAGCCACCCCAGTCAATCGTTAAGGTCTGTTTTGTACCCTGACCATTAGAGATGGGAATTAGAAGAATGGAGTTGATTGATTGATTGATTTGTTTTCTATGGCTTATCAACCCTTTGCACGTTTAGAAGAATGAAATTTAGTTAAAAAAGTAGAAATTGACTTAAAAGACGAAAGAAGTCATTACTATCGTTAGAATAAACATTCATAGTAAAATGACTAAAAGTATGGGAGTTCCCTTGAAGAGACTAGTATTCGCTCCAGCTACAAACAAAAAGAAAGAAGATGGAACTCTGTAGTAATTACTAATTAAAAAAAAAAAAAAAATAGTTGTTTATCAGAATAGCTTGAGATTAAAATTTGTTTTCAGCTAAAAGGTTTTCCATAGGCCAGTTGGATATCAAATTCAACAGATAAACACAACACTTGTTGCAACATAGTATGGCTATTTGTAGCATAGCAAGAACAGATATCAGCTGCTGTGGTTAGCATTTAAAACTAGTTAAAACTACCGGTAAATATAATACAACAGCAACAGTGCAGGCAGTGAAGAGCATCTGGAGTCCTCGAGGCCTATACTGTCATCAGTTTTACATAAGGATATTTTTAATTTAATTCTGTAAGTTCATATGATTCATTTCTGATTGTTATTTTTACCTATAATTTATTTATTTTCTTTTTATAAATACCTTAATTTTGAAAATTAAACAATGGATTTCAGCTTCAATCACTTTCCCACTGTCATAATGTAGCTTCCCATGTGCCTTTTCTATAAATATTTTCATGGTAATTGTTCTTGTGAGTTTTCCTCTTTGGTACATTGACTTCACAAATTTAAACACAGCACTAAATTGGCAGCTGTTTTTCATTGGTCAGTCAGTTAAGTGCCACATGTGATACACACTTAAGCAATCATGTATCTGTATCTTTACATACATGAATGACGAGGCAGATTTTTCCTGCAGTAGGTTGCCATTTCTTTCTATGGTAGACTGGTTGCCAACTAAGGCTAAAGAACCGAGTCTGTTCTGCTGTTCAACCCATAGCTGGGAGGAGAAGGGATGGATTCATACCTTTCCTGAGGGTATTTGTGTGCAAGTGAATATAAAGAATTTGAGCAGGATTCATATTCACTTACACACGAATAACCTTGGAAAAAGTATGATTCATCATTTTATTTTTGAAATTTCTAGATGTAACCGTAAGTTTTATTCTTTTTCTCTTATACTTCTCACCTATAGAACTCTCTTTCATATTCTTGCTTTTCTGTCAACTATACTCTTCAAAAATTTAAAGCAACATCAATAGTCATATTCTATCTCTATGCATCCTGTTCTGTTATTGTTCTCTCAATAAACAAAACTTCTCTTTTAATCATCTTAGAGAACAACTCATTGTCATACAAAATGGAAAGATCGAACTGAACCCTTTATTTCACTCACTGGAGTAGACTGTTCTAGTTCCACATGTCATGTCTAATGGATGTCAGTTATCAGTTATCTCCTGTTAATTTTCCC